TAAGTCGCTGGGGTATATTTGTAGCAATAGCCAAAAATGCATTGTATGGATCAAAATTATTGATTTTTTTTTTAATGCCAAAAATCGTTAGGATATTAAGTAAAGATCATGTTCCATAAAAATATTTTGTAAATTTCCTACTGTAAATATATTAAAACTTAATTTTTGATTAGTAATATGCATTGCTAAGAACTTAATTTGGACAACTTTAAAGGCGATTTTCTCAATATTTAGATTTTTTTGCACCCTCAGATTCCAGATTTTCAAATAGTTGTATCTCGGCCAAATATTGTCCTATCATAACAAACCCATCAATGGAAATCTTATTTATTCAGCTTTGAGATGATGTATATATCTCAATTTCGAAAAATTGACCCTTATGACTGGTTTTGTGGTCCAGGGTCACATATATTCTACTGTTTTTTTTTTTCTCCTTTTTGCTTCAGGTTTCTACACATCTTTGCAAAATTCAACATCATGTAACCCATGTCCACAAGGCACGTACTGCAAGTAAGTTCCTTTTCTGAACATGATTGCACCATAAATAATACATCTCAGGCTTTGAGTACTATGCACTTATTACATTTTTGTTTTTTAATTAAAAAAATTAAACATTGGATATTTAATAGTTTAGTTCTTGTTCTTATTTGAAGAAATCATTACAGTATCTTGACAGTTTCAGATTAAATGCAGATTTTGTTTTGATGTGTTTTCATAAAGGTTAAATTATATGGCTATTAAAATGAACCATCTCCTTTTATAGACTTGATGACATTCTCTCTGTTGACTTGTTAAATTTCAGTGCTGTGCTTTGTTTTCCTAATATGTTAGTCAACTGTCACAGCGGTGTCATTGCAGTGCCACAGGACTGTCAGAATTTGTTGTAAACAGTTGTTCTTTGTTACAATCCTCCTTTCTGCCCTTTTGATAGTTCCTCCAGCTGTACTCAGTGCCGGGTCTGTCCTGCAGGCTCAGAGGCTCTACAGACCGCTTCCAAAGAATGTACACCTTGTCGCCCAGGTATCTTCTTCTTTTAGCCACATTGCTTACTCAAATTATAGGAAAATGCAAACTAATGAAATGTAGTTTTTGTGATTTTAAAACTCTGGAGACGGATAAATCCACGTTACTCAGAAATATGACATACATGATGAAATCGATTACATCAGCGTGATACAAGTTTTGTCATAGTTCAGTACATGAATATAGGTCTTTTGTTGAATGAGAAAATCAGAATTTCCACACTTATGAAACTCAAATGATGTCAATATTTTTTTTGTCAGGAATGCACAAGCCTGCCCATCAAACCATGTGTCAGATTTGCAGCAGTGGTTTCTATCAGATCCACTGGGGCCAGGAGAACTGTGACCTTTGTCCTGAAAAACACACACACACACACACACACACACACAGTCTTTACTGTTACCACTTAAATTGTTCCTCTTGCTTGAAATGCAAATCATATACTGTGTTTTTTAATACTTCCTCGTTTATCTAAGAACATTATAAATGAGAGCATATTTATGATTACAAATATGTGTCACTACATAGAATAAATGTACTTCTGTCTATATAAACCAGAGTCCTGATGTAAATCCGATCCAGTGTCCCACTGATGCGTTCTGTCCTGAGGGCAGCACTGTCCCTGGTTACTGCATGGAGACCTTCTTCAGAAAGGCAGGGGAGACGTGTGAACTTTCTCCTGTTACCATTGCACTGCTTGTTATTGGAGGAGGAGGTATGAATGGTTTACATCACACCATCTCTCAGCTGAACTTTGTTCCCAAACCAAAATGTGAAAAATGTCAGTTTCACAGATAAAAGACATTTAGCTAAGCTCCGCCTCTTTATTTATGCACTTTTGCGACATTTTGTCAGCAATGGTCCATTGTGTACTGTCAATTAGGGCTGCACGATTAATCGAATGCGATTGT